GCTTCATACCCAACCTTATATGTCTTCATTTTAACAATACCCTCTATCACATGTGCTAAATTACTACTTTTCTCCAAATGACTCAGCACAAAACGTTAGACAGGCTGGATTTCTCAAGCTTGCAAAACTAAATGATGCGGTCACTTTTTTTGGAGAAATCAGTCGAATCAGTGAGATTTGCCAGACTAACTTGGTCAAGCATTGCTGTTGAGATAATTTATGAATAACGAGGCTATTTTTGACTTGCTATCAATAGGATTTGACTTGGACATATTGATGAATTGCCGTCTTACACGAGTTAATTCAGCCAGAGTTCGATATTTTTTGACCACCACCTGCAATATGAGGTTTTTTGGTATAAAGTTTTATATCTACGCATACTTACTTTATTTTCGCTTGGCTGATGGCATGTGATAACAATGAAATGTCCAACAGGTGTACTCCGCTGTCCTTCTATAACTGCAGATACAACTTCTTGTGTAACACGATCGAGCTCTTGAAGGAAGTTGATTGGTGCCAATGGCACCACCTGAGTGCTCTTGTTTTCAACCAGCGCTGTTCCCTGAAAATGTCTGAGAATTGCTAGCGAATAATTCGAACAAGCTTGAAAACAACCTCGCAGAGCCACTTGAAGATGTCAACAAGTGGCAAATCAGCAAATTTCGGAGCTGGGTGCTCCAAGTCCACGCTCATATCGTCTGGAACGCCATCAGCATGGTTTCTGAAGAAATTTGCGAATGATATTCTCATAACAACCAACCTGTAGCAAGGCTTTTTTGAAATACTAGAAAAATTAACGAACGAGGATGAGTTCTGGAAGCACATTGGCGAATTTTGAAAAGGAATTCCATTCTCTCTGGTAAGAAAATCAAAATTTCGGATTTCTTTAAACATAGTGGTCGCGAATTTCATATCCGTTCGGTAGATGGTATGGCGCAGTTTTTTTCGGTTGTCAGTGCTTATGTATGCTATAAGCAAAAAAGATGGTTTTATGACTTTCACGCTTAAAGCAACAAAAAACAAATTATCAACTACTCGGTGAGAGTATGAGGCTTGGGATGAGATTTTTTTGAAGCTATAGACTGGAAATCCTCAAGAAAAATGCGGGAATTGTGGCACTATGAGTTCATATTTTCAGTCAAAAGGCCTAAGTCTTTCTTTACTATTCTAAAACATATTAGAAGACCTAGGCCATCTTTTTAAGGTTACTGTATAATCACAGTACAAAACCTATCCGGAGCCCAACGCAGATCTGAACGTATTGACAGCCAAAAATCGCGCCATTCACCATACACCCATCCATTCCGATTGCACATGGAGATATGGCAGATGTAGGAAGTCAAAATTACTCTGTATCAAAAGGGATCTATTGGAGTTATTTAATACGCTAATGACGATTATCACTCCGCACCGGCGTTTTATTCTGGACTTGTGATTCTACCGTAACCTAGCGCATCCTCGCACAGGGCACTATTATGCGCAATCCAGTGAACTAATTTTAAATCAGATTTCCGCACCTTCTTTATAGTTATCTATCTTCGGAGTGAGGCGCTTATATAGCGAATATGTTATTTGTGACCAGCATGCCATATAACTCCCTCCAAGCAAAAACATTAGATCCAAAATTTTGAGCCCTTTTGTTAGTGAAAATGGAGTACCATAAAAGAAATGAATGAGGTAATAAAACATGCTCTTGCCTTGAGAATCATTGTCCTTACTCACTTTTCACTTTTT